TTTCACTTACGTTGTATTTATGTTTCTGTCTTTTCAGTTCCAGCGATCATCACTGAGCTTGTTCAGTGATCGCTGAAGAACTTGTATTGTAATTCAATCAGAGACAGTGATACTTCAAGAAAACAACACTCACACCAAAGAACCTTCAGCTAATGCCGAAGACTGAAACTGAAGATTAGGGACTGGCGAATAGGTGATCTGAAGCGGTACTCAGTGATTACAAGTATGTCTACATATGTGTGAAGACTGCTCAAGCCTCAGTGAATGCTGAAGAAACCTCCAAGTTATTCCAACATTCAGCGATCAAAGGAAGCTTGCTTAGCATGATTGTTGTTGTCTTGTCCTTATAGACACAAAGGACAAACCCATACCCTTCTAAACGTTGGTACGGTACGGAGCCGACTAGTTGACTCTATTGCCCACCAACTTTAGGTAAGGATGTCTGCTCATGAATAGTGTTTTTGTACTATTCACTGTAGCAAAGGACAAGCCTTCCTCTTAAGGCTTGACACGCACTCTAACCCTACCATTTTGCATTAAATGAACATTTAATGCACTGGGTATAAATAGAAGTGTTTCTTCTCCGTGCAGAGTGCGCGCAACTCACTCTCTAAACCTAGTTCTTACTTTGAGCATTTTCTAGCTTAAGTAAATGAACTTTTCTTACAGCATTTCTTTTCTCATTTGCTAAGAATCTGTGTAATCAAAGATTGTTTAGATAGGTTTTCTTACCTTATCTTTCCGCAAACAGTCTTGTAAAATTTGTATTGATCTTCTTTATCAATATATACATTTTAAATTTGAAAATATTGTGTTTGTATTCATCCCCCCCTTCTACAAATTGTTTTACTTATCTTGTAGACCTTCAAGGGACCAACAGAAGCAAACCGCATTGTATGACGTAGGACTTTACATATTCAATCAAAACACCAACTATAGGAAAATTCGATTACGCTTGAATGAGGAAGATGTGAGGAGTGGATAAAATTTAAAGATGGTAAGCTCGGTCTATTTTATTTTGAAATGATGTTTTATTTTGTTTTGAACAATATCTATTTAGATGATGTTTTGTAGATGTTTTTCTTTGGATGGTATTATGATTGAATTTTATAGGAATAAAATGGTTATTTCAATTTGATGGGATGTGTGTTACAAGTTGATGTTTTTCAATTTATGTATTGCTTGTTTAAACTTGATGTTATATCTATGATATGTTTGGAGCTCAAAATGATGTTCTTTTGTGGTATATATTGGCAAGGTCATACATGGATTAAAAAGGAGATCATTCTGATTGTTATTATATATTGGTATTTGAGTAGAAGAGCTTCAATAAGAATAGAAATGGTGAGAGATAACACTTCAGCTTTGACGGAAATGCATATATACAAGAATTATTAAGTGGATCCAATACGCAATGCCATGAATTGATGCTTTTTATCTCGTGATTCATTCATAATGTTACAACCAATTTAAACAAAAAAAAATGGTTGCAATCAAGTACGCATATAAGTTGTTAAATAGAAGATGTCGATGTTTTTGACAATTGTTGCTTACAATGAGAGCTTTAGAATGGTTATACATAGATTTCAACACCCCATATGCACTACTCATTACTGTTTTCATTAAGTATTGATAGAAATGATAGAATTATCAAGAGAGGTCGTAGGGCCAACATCCAATGATGGAACCAAATACGTCAGAGAGATTTAGGCACCTCAAAGAAATATTTTTGGTATGATTTATATCATTGATTTGATAATTTCTAAGTCGTTTGATATTTTCAAGTTTCTTATACTTTTTTGTTTCTCAAAGGGGCTATAGGTGCACAAGATGAAACTCTAATACATATGCAATTGTTCCCAGTGATCAACAAGCAAGGAAGAAGAAAAAAAGGAATGCTTCCAAAACGTTTTAGCAATTTGTGATTTTAATATGATATTCAAGTTTGTTTAGGCTGGATGGGAATGCATTGCGCATGATTCTAAAGTTTTGAGAGAAATTGATTTTAACCCAACTTTCGGATTTATGTTTCCTTCATCAACTAAGTATCATTTTTCTTAACATTAAAAGGTTATTATTTTTCTATATTTCTTAAGTTGTAGATATAAATGCAACTAAATATTATCTTTGTGATGCCGCATATACTTGCATTAGGGGATTTATGACTCTGTATCGCAATACGAGTACGGGGTACTGGGTTAGCAGATTTTCGGTGTCAATGTGCATTAATTAAAGAAGAAATGTTCAATCATGGTTATGCACATGCACAACTTAGGAATGGTATCGACCGTGTGTATGATGTCTTGAAAGCAAGATTTTTAATCTTGAAGCAAATGGCTCCTTATCCTTTTCTAGTACAGAAAGATGTGGTGATTGATTGTTTCATGATTCATAATTTTATAATAAAAATGAAATATCCAAAATCGGTTATTTATGGAATACGATGAGAACACCATGTTTGCTCTTGCTAAAGAATAACATGAAGAAAACAATGAAATAGAAATTCGTGAAATACAGTGGAGTTCTCAAGACAATGATATATGACTAATTTGCATGATGAGATTGCAAATCAATTATTATCCAACTAATGTTTGACATTGTGTGTTGCACGATGACAATAATTTTTTTTTAATTATTTAAGTTAGCTAAATAAGTCGATGATCAATTTTATATATTAATATATATATATATATATATATATATATATATTAATAAGTCTTACATATCAATCTTTTATTATATTAAAATTTTGTAATTGGTTCAAAATCATAAAAGAAAAATATGTGAAAATATTGATTATAATCATGAGTTGTATTATGAGAATTGTTTTGTCATAATACATATCAATTTATCTCTTACATATATTCTCATAAAAATATTTATATTCACCAAGCAAACATTGTGTTTTTTTTTATTAACTTGGATATCCAACTTGCTATGCGAGCTGACTAATCCCAGGCGACCACCTGCTTTGTAGATAGCCCGGAGTCATCGCGTTTGAACCTCTGTGGCCACAAGGGGATTCTTATTCCTCCTTGGATTTGAACCTGGAACTTCCAGGTACTTTTGACCTTTGGAGCCAAGCTTAAACCAATTAGGCATCACCCTTGCGGTTAGCAAACATTGTGTTGTTACCTACTTTGATATAATTGTTGAATATTTTTGCAATTTACTCATATTAGTCATAATTATACGTTTATTTCATTTTGTTTTGTTTATCTTATATCTTTGTATATATGAAAGTAAGAACCAAGAGAAATGAAATGAAACAATATGGATTGAGAATTCCAAAATATTATGGTTAATTACTGTCTCTCTATTGATGTGTGTGTGTATAGAGATGGGTAATGAAATTAAAATTAATATATAAATAAGATTATAATCAATGTATATAATTAGATACTTATTATTAACCCTCTCATTAGTAAATGAAACACTTATTACATTTAAAATCATTTAGAAAATGAATTAAAATAAATAAATATAACACGCAGATAAAATAATTATTAAAATTAATATATTTTGGAATTCTCAATCCACATTGTGTCATATCATGTCTTTTGGTTCTTACTTATAAATTATAGATATATAGATTATATATTTATAAATATAAAGATTTAAAGGTTTATTAGATTATTATATGTAACTTATATATAAAAAGTAAATGAAAGATTCATTCATATAATGATATGTTTTTACTTAAAATAATTCAAAATTTGAAAAAAATAGCAACTAATGATTCTAGCTCTCTCAAGATGTCACATCATTAACCACAAGGTTGGTACTTGATTGGTTTGAGCTTGGCTCAAAAGGTCAAAAGTATCAGGAGGTCTCAGGTTCAAATCCAAGAAGAAATAAAAATCCCCTTATGGCCACGAAGATTCAAATGCGGTGACTCTGGGCTATCTGCAAAGCAGATGGTCGCCCTGGGATTAATCAGCTCGCATAATAAGTTGGATATCCAGGTTAATTAAAAAAAATGATGTCACATCATCTTTTTGATGATTCTCCTATATATAAATATATAGATGGTTCAAATTAAGATTTCTACACAAGTTATTATGTTGAATTTCAATTTATTTTATTGTCTAAATATATTTCAATCATGAAAATCTGTAATTCTTTTTATCATTTAACAATTATCATACATAACATTTGGTAAATAGTTGCATTACTTTAAACTCTTCATCATATATAGGGTTATAATGGTATTTTTTTTTAAGGAGACTCTTTGGTATTATAACCACCTAGTTGTTTTATTCAAAAAAATTTAAAGATACTGTTAGATAAAAAAAATTCTAATCAAAATGTAATATTTATGAAATTCCAACAAAGTGGACAAAAGGGTATTTGGTAGGTCATTTCAGCTCCTCAATATTTATAATACCTTGACTAAGCCTGAAGTGCATATGTTTGCTGCAAGAACCATCAAAGTTAAGAGGGAAATTCTACTTACAGTTTCAACTAAAAACCAAACCAAACAAACCTAACATATCCCGAACCAAAGGTAGAGTCAGAAAAGATGGAATGTATGCAGACCTAAGCCCTACGTCAAAAAATAAAGCAGTTGTTTTCGTGGAGTCCCCCACCTTGTGATAAATGAGCGAAAACCACCAATTATGACACTTTTTAAGTCTTGGGGCAACTCGGATTAGCTCCATCATTCCATTATTGTGCCGGCAAGCCTAGGCGAGCTATGTAGGGTTAGATTAGAGGGAGGGGAACTACGAACGTCCATGTCATACCTATTGATAAATCCCTAACTTTAGGTCTTTTCCAAATTGATGGTCAAGCCTTGGGCTTGATTCGCACTGGTCACTGGTTTAGTCCGGTCTTAGTCCTCTCAGGCAATGTTCGAGGCCCATCAGGCCACTGAAGCCTGGAGGTAGTTCCGGCTGTTAACTACTTAACTTCTGAACCATGAGATTAGTTGAGATACAAATTTTTTTGACATCAATATCATCAACACAAGCATATGAAAATGCAACACCACCACATCAAGATAGAAGCTGTTCTCTAATGAGAGGGCTCTTTTATAAAGTTGTGAGAATAGTAGTTGTTTGTTTATATATGAAAATAAACAAAGGAAAACAGAACATTGTTGAAAGCAAATAGAATACCTGAAAAAGAAAAGAAACAATCCGTAACTAGTATTAGTATTTCCTGTATGCAAGTTCTTCAACACAGTGTGCAAGGCTCTTCTCGCCTCGAATGCTTTCAACCCACTTTGCGTTGATCTGAACCCGCTCAATGCTCTGCTTCAACGTCCTTGCAATAGAAGGCTTAGCACGGCATGCAAAAAACTCATCCACTTCCTTCACCTTCTCGTAGGATGAGAACTACAGAAATGAAGTGAAACATATGATAGTGAATTTTTTGGTTTCTCGATGCATCTCAGTGTCGAGGATGATACCCAAAATCTGTATTTGTTTATATATTCTCTGGTCGCAACCTTCTGTCAGTTCCATTTTTCATAACATGATAAACTAGCTAGGATGGTGAAATACGATATTTTAACAGCATATCAACATGTCATTTCTACAAAAAAAAGATGTTGCTCTTATTCATACCGAAAGGTTAAATGAGCAAATTGCATGAAAATTACTTTGCTCCGATTCCTCTTGGTGTACCATACTTTCAAACATTCACTTTAGTACGTCAGATGTAATAGTAGTTGCTTTTGGGTATCTCGTTTACATGAGAATGCATGAAAATACATCGTACTTCTGTCTAATTCCTATTTTGTGTAACGTGTCTAAATGTTTGAGATGTCACATCCGAGGTGCCAAAATGGAGGTTTTGAAAAAATAAGAATCAAACCAAAGTGCATTACATTTTCATGCAATTTGCCCAACCTGAATCGATTGAACTTTGGAGAAATACATGTAAGAGCAAACCTCTGGACAAAGATTTTGAGATGATAAATAATCAATATATTATTATTTATAGGGAAATACACCTAAGGAAGATAATAATTGATCACATTGACCTAATTCACACACACGCGGACAATAATGTTAAGAAATTGGTAGGACGTAGATGCAAACCCTAAATAGGTTTACAGAATTACCAAAATTCAAATTCTTAAATCATGCTTTTGAATGAGTTTGAGGATAAGGGATGCATTTCCTGGCATGTGTAGGAAAATGAAGTCTAACATAAATATTTCAGCTAAAGAAACATGGTAGAAGACAAACCGGTGATACAATTGCACTGACAAAACGTGTCATCAAAAATCCACGGCCCCAAGTATTTGAGATGTGTTCCCAGTTGTTCTGCAGTTGAGAAGAGCGATTAGTTCTTTTTGGGTGTCCATATTATACAGAAATTAAACATAAAGACACTAGAAAGTTGGTTTGTTTCTATAGGTATCTTATCTACCATTAACCTTGATCATACTTCCTCCAAAAAGAAATAAAAATTCATGAAGTTGTCCGAAGTTATTATGTCAAAGAAAATACACACAAACAATCTTGAACAAATGGTATACATGTTTCGGTTTCAACTAACCTGCAGCCATTTCCAAGCCACTTCACGTCCCTCTCTACTAACAGCCAGTCCAAAAACGACATCCTGACTTCGAACCTAAACAACACATTATCATCAAGCTCCAATAAAACAAAGAAACAGCTTTAACCTTAGATTTGTAAGCACGAAAAGAATTCTCAATAATCTATACCTCAGGAGTCAACAAAAAGTTGAGGACTTCAAGAATTATGTCAGGATCACTGCAAGATCCAAGAGCACCTACAACATAACCAGATCTATATTGAAGAACAAATTATAGATTTTGCTACAATGTTATAACACCGCTATTATCACCTAATATCCGAGTCTTTTCCTGACTTAGATCAGTCTCTCTGTAAACTTTCAAAAGTGAATCAAAACCAGATCTGTCTGAGGACGTGACATCCTTCATCACAGCAACATACACTGCCTGCCAAAAAGTAAGGGAGAAGAGGGAGAGAGTAAATATCTCAGTGGTATATAACAAGTTCTAGATAGGAATAGACAGCTAAGGTAAACAGTATCAACCCTTCGTATATCAGGTGGAAGAAGATGTGTGTTTCTGTCTTCCAAGAATGCCTGAAAACGCTTCCTTGCATCTTTTAATGTCGCATCATGTCCGAACACTGCCAAGGTAGCAAAAAGTTCCCCTCTCAACAAGGCATCCAAGTGGCTTTCCCCTTGTTTAGGATCAAAACCAATCCTCCTGCAAAAACCAAAATGAAATAAATTTGGCCGATAATTACAATTTCTGGAACACCAGAAATATATGAAAGGTACCAACAATGTGTATGAAAATTATATAGCATTGTGCCATTATTCTTTATGTATTTTCTCGTCGTAATGATATGCTACAAGATCAAAAGCATGCAAGACGATACTTTGATAACTTTATCAAGAAAATAATCTTTCTTGACCTTCCTTTAGCAGTCAGCATGGTTTCCTTGATTAGAAAAAAATGGTTCTTCATAACCATCAATGTCCTACTACTCTTAAAGTTAAATATCAAGCTGGGCAGTTGTTGAAAGGCAAAGTTGAAAGAAAGCAACTACACACAGACAAGTGAGAATGCATAGAAACACACATTTCTCTTCAAACATTTTCTTTCAGCTGTAGTGACAAGATCTACAAATAAAAAAAGGTGATAGTAAAACATACACACTAGCAAACAATTAAGGGGTTCTTTGGTTTAGGTTGGGGAATGAAAATGGGAATGAAAATGAAAATGAAAATGAAAACGAAAAAGTCAGGGAATGAAAATGGGAATGACTTCTTATTCCCCCCAGTTCAACCAGGAATGAAAATTTGGGCTTTTGGGGGAATGAACCCATTATATTATATAAAACCAAACAGTTTCTTTTATTATCATTTCCATTGATTACTGCTTAATACCTCTAACCAAACACCCCGTAAAAATCACAAGCATTTGCCTTAGGTAATTAACTATGGTTTTTTCTGTTCACCAAGTGTGTGTTTTAGTAATAGAGAAACACCTCCAACATTCTAGCGTTGACTGGAAGGCCAGTTTAAATAGTAAGCCTAGACTGCTTTCTAGATACATCAAAACACAGAGACAAAGAGATATGCATACACATACAAATTCTTTACACAGATCTGTAGCACATAAGAAGCAAAAGTTTTATTCTGTATTAGATGATATTTTTTCAGGTTATGGTCTGTCATTTCCCTTTAAAAAGATGATATTCGTATGATATCGATATAAAATGAACACTCAAATGTTCCTAGTATGCCTACATGCATAGAAGAACTTTTTCTCATGTTTTCTAGTCATTGTACTTTGTAGTTTTGCTACAGACAAACTAGTGCACTTGCTAAAATGCAAGAAGAAAAAAATAAAGAACCCCAGTAGCCATAGTGAATCAATAGACAATTTCTAATGATCAGTTAGCAATAGAACTGCAAGTACTGCGGTAAGTATAGTTCACTCTTATACATAAGTGTTTTTTTTTTTTTTTTGCATTTTAGCAAGCACGATAGTTAGTCTGCAACAAAATTCACAAGTATGATGGTTACAAAACCATTCACTCTTCTCCTATCACATTGAAATGTATGCACGGATTTTCAGCAATTTATCTAGGGATTGAGATAGATTTACAGGTGTTAAGAAACTGACTCTGCAGAATATTGGAAAAGGTTTATGAAAAATATCTTAATGTTATCCAGCAATGTTGCATCAGCATCAGCCACAACTCTTGCAACTTTAGAGCTAATCTGTGGAAGCAAGAACAAGAATCAGAAAGAGCATCGTGATGCTTAAACGAAATATCAACAGAGTAGCAGTCATTACACTGATTAAGTTTGACAACACTGTATATTCAGGTTCCTCTCTGTAAGCACCCATCAAGGTAAGCAAAGAAGACAAAGGAAGCTGACCGGCCATGGACAAGGCAAACGAATCATCTAGAATTCCTGTCAATGGATGTAAAAGAAAAAAGGGAAGTAGATTAGAATTGCTACTTTTAGCAGAAGATCAACTGAAGTTCAAGACAAGAGCGAAACATCAATAATTACCATATCTATCCATTGCCGACAAGCATTTACTTTCTATTGCATATCTAAGTTTGGCTGACAAGTGCTCATCATACTTAACACGGTAAAAACCTGCCTGGTTAACATTAATCTTTATCCAACAACTTGATGGTCCATCATTGGAAACTGAGCAACCAAATAGCGTGGCAGTGTCAATAACTTGTGACCTTGTTTCCAGTAAGAAATTCTTCTGTTTTTCGTATGAGCCACAGCACAAAGTTATTGGCACAATCCATTGTCCATCCCCATGGCAACCACTTGCCAAGAATTGCCTCTGTCAGTACACAACAACTATAAATTGCTAACTGTCCTCACAATCATTACAAGTATAAGCATGGTATAGATGTTTCTCGATCCAGTAAAAAACGTGATAAAATCGTAAAAACATTCAAAATGACTGAAGAGGGATCTGAGGAAAAAGTAGGAACCTGTTCAAACTCCAATTTGTTATCTATCACTCTAGCAGAGACAACTGGATATCCTTTCTGCTTTGTCCATGAGTTCATCAGTTTATTCACAGGCTCATGGGACTCTTCCTCAAGGACAGCCCACAAGTCTTCGGTCTTTGCATTTGAACAAGCATGTTTTTTTATATATTTAGCAAGTGCTTGCTAGTGATAAGATACCACATAGAAAACATTGTTAGATTCACATTTAGGAAAAGGAATTAAAATTAACAAAATGCAAAGAGAAAGTTGATACATAGTATGATCAATTCCAATAAAAAGACATGCCCAACAAACTCTTACTAATCATATTAATAAAAATTTCATATAACATCCACCTAGAGAATTAGATGGCCACGTAACAAACAAGACTATGCTTGGAAAATTAACAATTAAAACTTCATTAGGCCAAACTTCATCAACCTAGTGAACTAGAGGCCACATTTCCGATAAGATTATCTGTAAACATGACAGCACACCAAGAGATTGTAAAAAGTCGAGGCTTAGGACCATTTCCAGTTCAGCAATATTTAGATCCATCCTGACATCATCTCGGGGTATTTCTTCTACACAGTAGCCTCTTTTATGATTCAGAAACTACCCAAGTGATAAAATTTCAGACTTTGTTGCACATACTGAATTGTAAAGCGCAGTTTTGGGATTGTATTATGAGTACTAAGATATACACTGCCAAGAGAGATAAATGAAAATCCATTCCCGAGTCTGAGCCCCTTAAAACTTAACAAATACTTGGAAAAAGAGTAAGAAAAATGAGACATTGAATATATATCATAAAAAATACGTGTGAACATCCTAACATGTCTTAAGTTGCCCACCATAAGCCACTTTATGCTGTTTTTACAGTTCTCACAAATGGCTAGAAAAACTGGAATTTGGTTAACTTCTGATTCTGTGTAGGAACTAAGAACATAAAAGAACCAATTTTGAGCAAAACATCCCCCTTTCTGTTGCCAACTTCATCTGAAACCCTCACAGTATCTTATGTGGTTATTCTTTTTGCCTAGCAGTATTATAGCATACAATACAATATCTGACCTCAGCATTTTTGGTGTCAAAAGCAGAAAAGAACAAAAAGACAAATGAGACTGATAAGCAATAACCATGTGGACACCAAAAGAAACTTAAAACAAAGAACCAATGAATAGCAATGACTACCCTGGTCCTTTGTCACAACCCACCAAACTGCTGACCTGACCTAGTAAGATCATATTTGAGGTTTTCATAACGGTTAGCTTTTCAATTGCACTTATGCAGTACTTGTCCAGAGAATTTCATCTGCAATAACGACCCATCTAGATCTTACCCTCAATCTTCCTTTATGTTTTTCTTTAATTCAATCAAAATAAAGACGAAAAAATTACAACTTAAAGAACATTTAATAATCACCAAATCAGATCTGATTTGCTGCTTACTCTTTGAAAACAATTATTTTAAGTAGCTTGTACTACTGTCAATGTTATGACACCATTTGCTATCACAAATCAGGTTTTTTATTTCAACACATCTTCAGAAAGGTACCCATACGAGGCTCAAATAGCTAGACTAGTGAAATATGTTCTTTATCTTTCGAACTGAAAATCCCAATCATTCACCTATGTTTTGGTGTGTTCAAAAAGTTGATGAAATAACCCCATTACATATTTCGATACAGGATTTTGAACCAGAATTATCTACTTGTACAGACATATAAAGAGTAGATGGAGAGGGAGGAGGGTGACAAAGAACAGAAAAATAAAAATAAATAAATGGTGGTGTGTGGACCAAAGGCAACATGATGACAGTTTTAGGTTTTCTGGTTCACAAATGGAAGATCCAAAATATCATGCTTCATAGATGTCTGGTTTTGTTGAACCTGAGTGGGCAACGCATTTCAAGTTACAAATTCTCTCTCAATCTGCCCCTCTTTCAATGTGGTAGGTTAAGTGGTGGTAGTGCCACATAGCAGTGGGCAGCAGCAGTAGCAGTCATAAATGAAATGAAGACAATGCAGCCATAAAACAAGTGCCTGCTAACTCACTTTGTGCCTCCAAGGTAAAAATAAAATGTGTATAGCCAAGCCTATTGAAAAATGATCCATGTAAAATGGAATGGAATAATATGCCAAGTGTTGTCGTACTACTAATTAGAAGAGAGAACTTGATTCCCTTTAAACATATGATGACCGCTCTTTTGAAAATAGCGAAGCAATTTAGAGCATCTCCAACAGATTCTCCAACATTTCTCCAAAATGGAGAACCAAAACACAAAATCTCTATAGAAAATTACATCCAACTCCAACAGATTCTCCATTTTGGAGATTACAACATTGATTATATTATTAAAATATTATATATATGTAATAAAATATTATTTCTCTCTCATAAACATTTAACTTCAATGTTTCCTATTGGTAGGAATATAATAAAAAATTGTCTCTCTTATGGTAATCAATTTTGGCGAGTTCTCCATATTTGGAGAATTTCACACTCTCCCATGCTTTATCCATTATCGAGAAAGTTTTGAGAAATATGTTGGAGCTAAAAATTGCTCAAAATCTCCATTTTCTCCATTTTGGAGAATCTGTTGGAGATGCTCTTTAAGTATACTGACTAGCAAATGCATGATCAAAAATGCTCCACATAGAGGACCACATGAGAATTTGAAAGCACCTACATTTCATCTGCATTCAGTTGATGTACTCGAAGTTTTCAAAAGGAAGTTACTACAGTTTCATATCAAGGCATATTTGTATAACCAAGTCCACCTCTAATAGAAGACAGGTATGAAACACGCCATATACACACACATCTATGTATAATTCTGGCTGATGAGGGTGTTTTGATAAGCATTTACAGGAAAATGATCCACTAAAGGAGCAGAAAATAATTCATTATCCAAATGGTGGGATAGTTTTTGCTTTTACAGGACTTGTAAATTTGTGGTTCTTATATCATTTCCAGGGCGGCTGCTTAAGCTCCCCAACCTGCATACCCTTTTTAGTAATTTACTAGCAGTTTATACGTGATGGATGCTAGAAATTAAAATAAAATCGACAGGTTGTTATAGCTAGCTTGGTGCAGCCTTTTTCCAGCACATAAGTTTTGATGATGTTGAGGCATGATAAATTTTGTGGATCAACTCAAAAGACACTGCTGGAAACACTCCGTTTTGAAACGTGAACTTCAAACGAAAAATATATGAGGGTTGAAAATGCTTTCTTAATAGAAAATCAAAAAATAGTTCACTCATGAAGGGAACAGAGAACAATTTCCTGCTGACAAGATCAGAAACCAGGAAAATCATAACAAATGCATGCAACCAGACCTGAAAAACTTTAGGTCCTAGATAGCTCTGCAGCATGCGAATGACTGAAACTCCCTTCCTATAGCTGATTGCATCAAAAATTTCATCTATTTCACACGCATGATTGATGTCCACCTGCAAGAGAAATTCGTTACAACTTACATGAATCATGCACGTTTGCTAGCTTTATTAACTGATTGCCTAATGCTAAGCAACAAACAAGTAAAATAAAAAATGCCATCTGTTCTACCTCAATAGGGTGTGATTCTGAAAGCCCATCAAGTCGAAGACCTTCAGTACTTTCATCAAGAAACTGAGTCCATATTTTCCAATCCGGGAACAACCCATCAGCAGCTAAATAGCTTACCTGATTTACAATAAAAATAACTTACGAACACTCACAAACATGTGGCTGACAAAATTAAGTGTGCATGACCCAACCACATGTGATTACCCAAGTAGCAAATCCCTCGTTCAGCCACAAATGTGTCCACCACTCCATTGTTACAAGATTGCCAAACCATTGATGTGCAAGTTCATGAGCTACAACAGTTGCCACCTGAATAATTTGCTCAGCTAGTTAGTTCAGTAACTTCAGGGTTGTAATGCAAACAAGAGAAAGAATGCAAGTGGATTTTGAATCTGGAAGTACATTACCCTCTGCTTGTTAGCAGCTGCAGAGTGCTTGTCATCATAAAGTAGAGCTGTTTCTCGGTAAGTAACTAAACCATAGTTCTCCATGGCCCCAGCAGCAAAATCAGGGATTGCAATCATGTCCAATTTGGGTAGTGAATAAGGCATTGCAAAGTACCTGCATACCACATCATCAAGTATTAGACATCCATACAAAGAATTTAACAGGATGCCTATACATAAATCATTCCCTTAGGATCCAGGCCCCATATATCCACCCCCCCCCCCCCATATTGACACAAACTCTGCTTCCTCATCACGAGGAGTTCCTCAACTGAATTCCAATATAAGCATATTTAATTGAAATTAATACAGAGAACTGATGCAAATTCATATTGAAAAAGTTCATTCCAAAATTTCCTGCTCCGCCAGATGTTATCATATACAATGCACCAAAAAATGACATTGGAACATACTCTTTGTACAGGCCAAGGGTCTTAACAGCAACATCTAATGCAAACTTCCCTTGATTTGTCTTCCCAACTTGGCAATATACCCTAACTTTAATTCCTGCAAGGCAAATTCAATTATATGGTAAAGTATAGCTTCTTGATATATACGAAAAAGTTGTATGACAAAATATATTCTAATTTTCTACCATCAGGTGTATGGTCTTCAACATAATCAAAGAAACCAACAACAGCAGCTACTAAATATGTAGACATGATTGGTGATTCCTGGTAGCAAATAGTCTTGATATTGCCATCCACCCGTTCTTCAGCAACTGGCATGTTTGATAGAGCTACAAGATCCGAAGGCACCTCCAGTGTAATCTTGAAAGTAGCCTAATAGAAAACAAAGTGCACTAACAAGAAATGAGTGGCCGTCTATATACAGAAACTACCATAGTCATTAGATAACTAACTAGTACTACTCAAATTCCTAGAGAAGCAGCTACAGCATGAAGGTGGCATCAAATGACCACCATCAACAGCCAACTTTGAGGATCAGCATGAAGAGATTCAAGATGACAAATGGTGAAACTAGTGAAGGTTTTAAACAACAGATTGACAACTAAGTGAAGTCTCACGGTCTTATATGATTCAAAGTGCCCTCTCACAACCAAGGTTACTTGGCCTTGCAAGGTACCCATTCCACAAAGAAGTGACATTGGAGTTACTCGAAGGCTTGCCCCAGGATTTAACATAATGTAATGCAAATTTTCCAGTCTTATACAAAAAACAAAAACAAAAACATCAGTGAGGGTGTTATTGCAACAATTTATTTCAAAAGAAGCAACATAATTGAGATGCCTCATCAAACCAAGGCCTTTCTGACCTCACTAAACATCTCTTGATCAAGTGTCAACGATGATGATCTGTTATTATAACTCTTACAGATTTTTCAAAAAAGTAGTCTTGCCAAAGAGCATATAATACTATGTATCCCATCATAATGTCTTATATGAAGAGCTTCAGCAAACACTAAAGGTGGTTACTTGGTGATACAGTATAAACGCAACTCTGGACAATAGGACAATACAAAAGAAAAGAATCAGAAATCAGATATTAAATTATTAGTCCTACCTTACAAGCAGGTTCATCCCAACAAGGAAAGCACCGTCTGGCATCAGCTGGTTCGAATTGTGTTACAGCCATGTTCTTCTTCTCTCCATTATGTTCATATGTACTGTAAATCAATTAAAAGGGTATATTAAATGTTTCACAACCTGATCACTAACATTAAACGCAAACAACTAGTGATGCAGCAGAATTTATATATTTTCTAAAATTTAACCAAATTCTTACTGACTTCAATTTATTGGATAATGCCTGCAGGGTTTGACTTATTTATAGTCTATATCTTGATTCCAGATAGGCAGATACAGCTATATAGGTCACTGGATTTTTTCTTCTATTAACTGGGTGTGAAAAAGAGAAACGTGAACTTTCAAAAGTCATAGTGAATTCAGAAGGAGTTGAGAAAAAAGTTAGGGCAGGGGGGATTAGAATAAGAGAACATGGTTCAGAAACAAATTTATAGCTTGTTAGCTGGGATAGGGATGATCACTGATCCGAATACACATCAGACTGGAGTTATCATCAGAACCAAACACAAATTAGTTCCAATAACTCTAATAAACAAATAAAAGTCAACAAGATCAAGTATAAACTACCTTCTATAAAACCCTTTCATTTGATCGTTCAATGTGCCTTCGAACCTCATAGACAAAACACCAAGGCCAAGAGGCAAACTTTCGGCGAACTCCGACACCAAAATCTCATCGTCTTCCAATAATTCGACTTGCAAAGCCTCAAATCCCTTTAATTATGTACTCACAATCAATAGATTGTTCTTACTATTACAGACAAACGAGTAGGCGGAAAAAATAAAGCAATCAAATACATGCCTTTGAGCCGTTTGCTGATTGAAAACGAACAGATTTGCAATCTACGAACAGGTCTGCGGCATTGAGGACAATGAACTTCGTGTCCGCAACGATGTCGAGAGAGATCTCGACGGCTCCCAAAAATTTGCAGGCGGAGAGGTCTGGTTTGAGCTTAAGATCATACCGTTTAGGGATAGCGAATTTGGGAAGCCTCGGTTGACATCTAAACTGATCGTACTTCTTTGCCATTTTTGACAAGACAGAAGGTAAATTGATATGTTGTTATGGGGTATTTATAGGGGAAGATATCTCTGCTGGGAGTCTGATGCTATCCAGCCGAAAATTTCTTTTCCTTGAACTGTTTCGCGTGGAAAACGAAGATAAAAAGGCCTTCGCTATCTACACAATTGTCTAAAAAATTAAAGGTAAATTAATTCAAATACCTCTTTTATGAGTCTTAGTTTAAAATGTTACTACGTCTACAATATCAACATTTGTAATACTGTGGATCTAAAAATAACATTCAAATTCCACTAGGTTAGCGAGGGACACCATCGTAATTATGGACTTGGCAGTTACAATTGCATACTTGGGTTGAATCTGATAATTTTCTTCTGTCTTTTAATCAGGTCCGCAATATTATGGATATAGATATTACGGATATAGTAACATTTGGATAAATTTGGGAGAGAAATAGCCAGAATATCAATGTGGATAGGAAGAATGGCTATTTGAGTCAATTTTCTAAAATTAAATCATATTCTAAATAACTAGTTATATATCCCCTCCGATGCACTCAGATGTTCAAATTATCAAATTTGTTGACGAATAAACTAAAATGGAACTCATGTATGATGAAACTCAAGAAATCTTTACCTTAATCATAACTTTAGTTTTTCTTTTTTTATGCAGTTAAATTTGAATATTGGTACATAAAAGTATTAGTTGAATGATTTAGTTTGACGATTAAGGGGGTGTTTGAGATTGCTTATTTGAAATAACTTATATTTTTCTACAAAAGTCCTTATCAACCTATTATAAGTTAATATTTTAAAAAATTTCTTATTACTGGTTTGACACCGGTATAAGCTGTTTATCCAAACATTTAAAAATGTTTATTATCGATGTCATACTGAAATAAGTCAATAAGTTATTTTTATAAGCAATCTGAAACACCTCTAAGTATAATTTATTTAACCAAAATGCCAATCCCTCCATCTAACCTATTATACTTTCTTATTATCTTTATTCCATATCTAATAATGAGACTACAAAAACAGATTTTTTTTTTACATTGACTTTATGTCTTCCTTTTCACAAAATTAAATTGGAGGGTTGTTACACTACACTCGTTATGTGAATGATACAAGTCAAGGTTCAATGATAGGTCCAATAAGTAATTGCAAATTTCAGAGGTGATCCATATTTTATGTGAAAAAAAGGTATAGTATTTGAAATCATCATATGTAGTATGTACGATGTAAAAACCAAAGAAACTAGTGTTATATTCGTCCATTTGTCGGGTACATCAAAGATCTTTGAGTGACCGATCTGACAGAACAGCTCAAAAGATAAAGAAATATCGTTATTTTCTTAAACGTTCCTGAAACAAAACGACGACTTCCATACATCTTCAACCCCCCCCCCCCCAGGCGGGATATACTGCACACATTTGGTTTGGTTTTAATTTAATGTACAAGATTTTTTATGTTAAAAAATTCTGATTCCTTGAAATTTGATGAAAAAATGTATATAAACATTTACTTAGCATAGAATTGAGATGATGTTCCAAGAGAAGAGGCTCATATGGAGTCTTTGGAAGCCATGAACCATAGCAGCTTGAACTATACTATCAAATACGCAATTTACATTGTTATAATTAACGAAAGCATCATCATCACAAAACTAACCAAGTTGAATCCGCAAATAGTAAAATTGATATAAATGATATACATCCTCATGGTGAATCTGATCTTTCTTTACACAAATTTCGTTAGACCAAAACCGTATGTTCCAATCTAAACAACAAAACATACATACGTACCCATATCCCATAATCATCCAACCTTAAAGGCCAGTAGGCCATCAATAATTAGTTCTTGGAAATATATAGAGGGTTCAAGTTTAAATGTATGTGGCTATATATACCTTCAATTTTTGACCAAGAACAACAGAAAATCAGAATATGAAGAACAAAGTCAAATGACAAAGAAGAAATTAAATGAAAAGGAAACAAAACGTACTTAATTGCAAGAAATCCATGGTGTTTTTATCGAGCCTTCTGAGTTTTGAGATTCCATCACCTAACTGAAAAAAGTGAAACTCAAACATATGAGACTCGATAGCCTCCATAAAAGGAGAACCTCACAAAATAATGTTGATGATGGCCATCCAAATGTTGAAAAGCATGAACATACCAGATAATAGACTCTCTTGAGAGTATGTGAAGGAGGCACTTTGTATTCCATGCCATTCTCTTCCTCACCATTAGTGACTTCAATATCCTAACATATGGACATGGTAACGCTTCTTCACCCCTCCATTGTGGGAGCAGATTTCCTAGCAGCCTATATGTAAGTTTTGCCTCAGAATGACAAATAACTATTATGCATAAGAGGAACTTTGAAATTTTCCCAAATTGAAATAGAATTAGTAACCTAGATGAAGATGGCAAATCAATAATATGAGAAATATGAGCATAAATTTATGTGACAAAGGTTTTATCCTAACTCGATTGGCACCCCAAGTAATACTCCTACTATCTCACAATGTACCCCTATCGAATCTAACTAGACGAAGACGAAAGGACTGATCAAAATCACAAATACACACACATTAATTGTGGTAGTCATAAACAATCAAATTTTGTGCCCATAGACCTGCAAGATCAAGAAACTGAAATTTCACATGAGAAAAATGCACATAAACTTGTTAATCTATGTCTTGGCTTCATGTACATTGCAAGGGGGAAAAAGAAAGTTTATTACCTATTTGGTGAGTTCCTTTAAATTGTCAAACATTCTAAATGATTTATGGAAACTAGGTAAATAGAAACACATATTTTTATGATTAAGCATTAAAGAGATAGTCAGCAGTAACAAATTGACATAACCTAATTATTTAACATAAGGTAGATTTAAGCATCTTAGTTTGACATTCTAAATAATATTTCAAACCAACAACAAACTGACAGAAATTGAGATGGTCAGTAGTAACCAATAACATTCCTAACAGAATTGGACCAAAATGAGAGGGAAAATGACGGTAAGCATTTAGCCAAATAGAAGTTGTAATCTGTCCAAAGTTCATAATTCTTTGAGCACACACAGAATGCCAATTCTTACCATTGAAACCACACTCCAAACTGATTAGACACCATACTGTTATAGGGCCAATCAAAATTGAAGAATTCTATTCCATTGGCCATTACACCCACATCAATCATTCATCTCCATTCTAGATGAACACAAAACAAATAAACAACACAATGCTTAGAATAAAACTGCAGTAAACTATTTACAATAATATAACAAGGAAATCTAATTAAAACCATATCTTCTCACTTACTTCCTCATCTTCAAAATCATTTACCTCAGACTTAGACTTTCCAGAATCATCAGGTTCGTCATTACATCCAACAACCTAATTGTATTACATGGAAACTAATATAAGAAATAGAAGGTATATATTACAAAATATGACACAAAATCCAACAATAATTACCGATGTTGATGTTGTGGATGTCACGGTTGCACTACATGGGCCTCATATGAATTATGCTGACGTCTCGCATTCATTGTTTGTGATGTTATTCAATCAATCTACATCTTCTCCTTCTTCAACATCATAATAATCGTTACCATGTTTTGGAAGTATAGTAACAGTTCTAAATTTAGCTGTATCTATAATTTTGTTTGGCATATCGATATTGTCCCCATGATATTTTGTTATAGTAAACCGACGAAAGTATTAAGTTGCCAAGTTGAATTTGTTGACCTTAATAGTCAGAATTACCCTTTGAGCACATAAAGTTTCAATAAGAAAAGCATGTATCCAATGAGGATCCTCAACACCCTATATATACATGAGGAAATATTATTATGCATACACTCACAAACACACACATGCACACATACAAATACACACAGACACAGGCACACACACACACACACATATATATATATATAATGTATGGATCTATATAGAAGCAAACCTCCAAGGAACTCTTCATAAGAAATTTGTCAACAATAAGATTGTTGGTCCCAAACAGATCTACAAGAGTTTAGAGGTAACAATTTGTAGAGGGGGTGAATACAAAAACATCAGTTTTCACTTTTAAAATCTTTTATTGATAAAGAAGATCAATACAAAATTTATAGATTGTTTGTGAACTTATTTAAAACAATCTAGGGAACACACAAGATACATAAAGTAAGAAAGAAAAGACTTGCTAAAAGAAGAAACAATAACTTTACTAAATAAGATCTTAGTTGGTGTTCTTCACTTGAAATAAAGATAAGTTTGAAAGATTAAGAAGTCTTGTGCTTGTGAGGAAGTCCTTTCTTCAAGAAAAGTTGTTCTTCAAGATATGAGTTTCTTGGCTTAGTTGGTTGGATGGTTGTTGAGGAGGAGAGTTTCTCGGCTATTTATACTCATTGCATTAAATGCAATTCAGACGGTACAAGGCACGTGGCAAGCTTCTAGAGGTGAGCTTGTCCTTTGTTTCCAGATATACAGGCTTTTGTTGTATATGAACACTGTTTTTCACAAAGTAAGTAAGCACGTTTGGAGAAAATAGAGTGACTCCGTATAAGTGCTTTACTTTGAGAGATATGGGTTTGTTCTTTGTGTGTAGGAGGATAATACAAACTAATCTTGTTCAACGAGATTCTTTTGATCGCTGACACTGGAATAACACTAGGGTTTCTTCAGTGTATGCTAAATCTTGAGTAGATTTCACACATGTGTAGACATGTTTATTATCACTAAAATGCATCAAATCATGAACTGCTTATCTTTGTCTTCAGCTTTACTTTGATATCACCGAAGGTTCTTGTGGTGTGAGTTTTGTCTTCTTGAAGAATACTTATCTTTGAGAAATACAATACTAGTTCAGCGATCATTGAACAGACTCGGTGATGATCACTGAAACTGAATAAAGATAAGGTACTTTTCGTAAGATAAAAAGGATAATCATCAAATCACTGTAAGAGAGAATCAACAATCTCCCCTATTTGATGAAACTGATGTGTTTGTATTCATCCCCCCCTCTACAAACTATTACCTCTAAACTCTTGTAGATTCGT